TGCAAGGGGATTCTCTCAGGGCGGTCTCGGGATGTCAGCACATCACCATGCTTCTGGCTTTTAGCTGAGATTGTGATGGCCCGAGGCCACTGTGGGTCAACAATGTCTTCTGGTGGGAAATAAAACTGGATGTAGATGGGAAGAAGGCAAGGACAAACCGGAAGTGGTCCACCCCTCTTTGTCATCACAGCGGAGGGTGACACCTCTTAGAAAGTCACACTGTTAAACTCTGTCTCCAAAGCAAAACAGAAACTCAACTCTGAAACACGTAGATATTCCACATCATGATAAATAGAATTATCATTCCGACGTATCTAGGACTCAGCATGGTACTACATGATTGAAATCTGGCCCTTGGGAAGCTGAGACTGGGGGATCTTGAGTTCAAATTAGCCTGGACTTCCTGGAGATCTTATCTCCAAAATAAAATAAAAAGTCAGGCATGGTAGGGTGAACCTTTAATCCCAGTACTCAGGAGGCAGAGGCAAGCGGTTCTCTGAGTTTGAGGTCAGCCTGGTCTACATTGTGAACTTCAGGGCAGCCAGGGCTACATAGAAAAACCCTGTCTTAACAAACAAACAAACAAATTATGAGGACTCATAATTTTTAGTAGTGCAAATAGTATTGTGATTATTATTATTTTATGTGTATGGATGTGTTGCCTGCATGTATATCTGTGCACCACATGTGTGCTGATGCTGGAGGAGGTCTGAAGAGGGCATCAGATCCCCTAGAACTGGAGCTACCATGTGGGTGTTACAATGTGCCTTGTATTCATACAACTACCATGTGTTAGCTAAAATATATTTTAGGCAGTTGTGGTGGCTTATACTTTTAATCCTTACATTGGGGAGGGAGAGGCAGATGGAGTTCTATGTCTGTAAGTTCAAGTCCAGTTTGGTCTTCACAAGCTAGTTCCAGGCCAGCCAGGGCTGCATAGTGAGATGCTGCCTCAAATATATATATATATAATTTAAAATTATATTAAAATAATATATATAGTTATTTTAATATAATTTTAAAGGTGGCGTGCGGGGCATTTATCCACCAACCCCACAACTCCCCAGAGTTTTCTTGAATGTGAGCAGCAGGAAATATTAGACAGAAGGATTTAGATTGTGGAGATAAACAGGTAGAAAATAAAGGATAGCCTCGAGAGGGCCTGGAACCTTTTCCAATGGGCCCTGACTGTCTCTGCCCTAGGGTATTTATAGAGATGCCAAGGGGTGGAGCAAAAGACCTCCCACCTAGCACAGCCAAGTGAAGAATGTTTCAGACACCTGCACTCAGGCCCGTGGCCCAATCATCCTCTCTATGCGGACCTGCTGGGTAAAGCCACGAGGAACCTGAAAACTGGCTCCCACAGTGGAGGACTGAAGAGATGGCTTAGCAGTTAAGAGCATGTACTGCTCTTGTAGAGGATCTGAGCTCAGTCACTAGTCCCTCATTTAGTCTCTGAAGTTACAGACACATACACATATGTATACACACAGAGACACATACACACATGTATACACACACAGACAACACATACACATAAATTTTAAAAAAAATAGGCTTTTTTTTTTCAAGACAGGGTTTCTCTGTGTATACCTGGATGTCATAGAATTCTCTCTGTAGATTGGGTTAGCCTGGAAATCACAGAGATTCACATACCTCTGCCTCCTGAGTGCAAGGATAAAGGTGTGCACCACCACCTCAAATTAAAAAAAAATAAAAATCTTTAAACGAAAAGGAAAAAAACCCTTAAGAAACTACAGAGGAGCCGGGCAGTGGTGGCGGATGCTTTTAATCCCAGCACTTGGGAGGCAGAGCCAGGTGGATCTCTGTGAGTTCGAGGCCAGCCTAGTTGAGGCCAGTCTAGTCTACAGAGTGAGTTTCAGGATAGCCAGGGCTACACAGAGAAACCGTGTCTTGAAAAAAACAAAACAAAAGCAAACAAAAAGAATGAAGACATAATTTTTAGCAGTGCAAATAGTATTGTGATTATTATTATTATTTTATGTGTATGGATGTGTTGCCTGCATGTATGTCTGTGCACCACATGTGTGCCTGATGCTGGAGGAGGTCTGAAGAGGGCATCAGATCCCCTAGAACTGGAGCTGCCATGTGGGTGCTGTGAATCAAATTCAGGTCCTCTGGAAGAGCAGCAAGTACCTTAACCATTGAGCCGTCTTTATAGTTCCCCATGGTTAGTTTTCTTGTTGTTGTTGTTTTGTTTTGCTTTGCTTTTTGAGACAGGGTTTCTCTTTGTAACAGCCCTAGCTATCCTGGAACTTGCTTTGTAGACCAAGATGGCCTTGAACTCATAAAGATCCTCCTGAATGCTGGGATTGAAGGTGTGTACCACCACTGCCTTGGTGCTGTATTTTTTGTTTTTTGTTTTTGTTTTTTGTTTTTTGTTTTTCGAGACAGGGTTTCTCTGTGTAGTTTTGGTACCTGTCCTGGATCTTGCTCTGTAGACCAGGCTGGCCTGGAACTCAGAGAGATCCTCCTGCCTCTGCCTCCTGAATGCTAGGACTAAAGGCATGCACCATGGCTGCCTGGCTGTGGTTGTTTTTTTAAAACACATTTTGTCTATAGAGATAGATAATGGCATTCAGATAAAATGTTTAGTAATTTGCTGGACATGATGGCACACATCTGCCACCTGTAATTCCAGAACTTGGGAGACTGAAGCAGGAGAAAAGAAAGTTTGAGGCCAGTCTAAATGACATGGTGAGTGCCAGACCAGCCCAAGATGTAATGAGACCCTGTCTCAAAAACAAATATAAAACAAAACAAAATAAAAACCAATTTTCTGGGAGCTGGAGAGATGATTCGGTGGCTAAGGATGAGTCCTGCTCTTTTAGAAGACTTGAATCCAATTTCCAGCACGCATGTCAGCTGGCAAATAGCTGCCTGTAACCCAGCTCTAGGGGACCTGATACCTCTGGCCTCACATGCACATAACCATACACATACACATGCATCAACACATAATTAAAAACAATAATATGCATCTACACATAATTAAGAATGATAAAGTAAATCTTTAAAAAAGTGCTCTAGGATACTTTGGGAGGAGGAAAAGGAAGTTGTGCTTGAGCTGTTCATGGCTGAAGCTGGGTGATGGCGGCGGCGGCGGCGGCGGCGGTGTGTGTTCATGTTCTCTTCTCTTTTTTGCACATCTGTCATTTTCTGTAATAAAAAATGTAAGACAAAACTCACATCTGGGGCTGGAGAGATGGCTCAGCAGATAAGAACATTTACTGCTATTGCTTCGGACCCAGGACCGTCCTTCCCATCCCCCACATGGCAGCTCACAATTGTCTGTAACTTCACTTGGGATAGGAGGGGGCAGGAATCTGTGCTCTCTTCTGGTTTCCACAGGAACTGTATGCATATGGTGCACATACAAACCTACCTGCAGAGAAAATACTCATATGCATAAATAACCTCAAGTCTGAAATGAGGAGAAATGCTAATATGTGGCACTATCCTTTTATCTTTTCTATAGATTTGATCTTTTCTAAATAGAAGGACAGGGCAAAAATCATCTCTCTACATCGAGAGATCTTTTCTCAACACCCTCAAATCATTTCCTTGTCTTTAATTTATCTGTTCTAGAGGGAGGCCCCACAGCCTAGCACTTGAGGTCCCCAGGGCCCATTCTGAGCAGTCTTTTGGGGCTGAGATAAGTTTTCTGGCCACATGCCACCAGTTAGAGCATCCCCTCCAGCAAGGACAGAGTAAGACTAAAATCCAGAGACATCTGGACAGTGTCCGAACATCACATGAACACGTGAAACTGCAAACATCTGCATCCGGGCTCCCATCATAGGTCAGTCTACCATCACCTAGATTTGAGTTTCACTTTCCATCCTGCTCCCTTTTCTCCTTCTGTTCACCCAGCAGAATAAAACAGCAGAAGGAGAACCAAGGCAACGAAAGAACTCAGCGCATGGAATACTGCCATGCTCACAAGTTTTGGCTGGGGTGAAGTTCTGAGCTTCCCGGGAGGACACAGGGTGGCTCCAGGGTATCCCAGGATCTTGCAGGGTGGTCGGAGGGTACACACACTTGACTCCGGAGGGAAGCTGGGGTGGAAGATCACATGAGCCCATGTGTTGGAGACCAACCTGGGCCACATAGCTAGGTTTGGTCTCAAAAGAAAACAAAATGCCAACCAAACAACAACAATAAACAAAGGAGGAAAAAAAAAAAACCTTTTTTTGTTTGTTTGTTTGAGTATGAAATGACAGGGAAATGGGCTCAAAGTGGGGCGCAATGGGCCTAGTCACGGAATTATAAAATTGTGACCGTGCTCTGGAGAGGAAAGGCTGCTGTGGAGAGGTGGATAAGGGAGGTGGTACAGTTAACGGTGGGAATATGACACTTCAGCCAGTCTCCGTAAAGAGTGACAAGGAGCTAGCCCGCCGAGGGGGGAGGGTTGGCAGAGCTGTTCCATGCAGAAGGGAATAGCAGTTTCTCAGACCCTTAGGCAGTCCAGAGGATGGTTCATGTTGCTGGAGGAATTTTTACAACATTAATTTTATTGATTTTGTTTAGCTTTGATTTATTTTTCTTCCTTCTGGTTAAGAAGTATTTCCTCCCTTGCTGCCAGACTGGATTCCAGAGTGCCAGCCTCAGGCTGCTGCTACCAGCAGAGCGCACTGGCCGGAACATCGGCACCTTCTGCCCTGACATCTGGCATCGTCCAGCTTTCTCTGTGGTTTTTGTTTGTGTGTTTGTTTGCTTTCGTGTTTTGGCCAATCTAAGTTGTGTAATCGCTATCTCACTGTCCTTGTAACCTGATTTTTTTTTTCTGATCGTGAACACATCTGTTCACTCTTGTCTTATGTCTGCAGGCTTGGTGGGGTAGTGGGGTCTGAAGAGTCCAGAGTGCAAGGGCTGGTGGAGACATCAAGGCTAGAAGGGTCCCAGGGGAGCAGCATGTGGGGGTGGGGGTGGGGGACCTAGGGCAGCTTGAAGGCACAGAGAGGAAGTAGGAGCTGGAGGTGAGATATGGATGTGCGGATCAGACTCACAGCTGGGCAGATAGCGAGCAGGGTCTACAGAGTGACGCGGAACCTCTGCCGCCCACTCCCCCGCTCTGCGCGCTCCCGGCTCCTCCGCGCACTCCTCGCCCCGGCGGGCACGCGCCCTGTACGTCCTGCAGCCCCCGGAGCAGCGGGATGGAGGAGGAGCTGGCTTGGGAGACCGACGGCTGTGAGTCCCAGTGCGAGGGCAGGTGGACACGGTGGGGGCCCGAGGCCGGTGGGGAGACGCCGCGTTCACAGAGGGCTGCCCAGGGAGAGGCTGGCCCTTCACAAGGCCACCGCGGTCTCGGGCTTCTCTGTGGCTCCGTGAGGAACGTTGCACAGGCTGCACAGGGGTAGGGCACAGTGGCTGCACATCTGGGACTCAGGGTATCCCGGGCGGGGCAAGCCAGGGGTGACAGCGATCCTTGTTAATAACGCGCTTTGTGTGTCAGGCTTTGAGTAAGGTCAGGCCGGTAGAAGACTGTAGACGACCATGTGGGTAGGGCCTACTGTCATCTCCATTTTTCAGATGAGAAAGCTGAGGGACAGGATGAGGTCACATGACTGTATAGCGATAGAAATGCTGAAATTAAGGATAGGGGCGCAGTTTAGCAGGTAGAATGTTTAATATGTACAAGGCCTTGGGTTCCATTTCACAAGCCATGTAAAACCAGGCACGGTGGCACACATCTGTAATCCTAGTACTGGAGAGGTAGAGGCAGGAGGATCAGGAATTCAACATCATCTTCCACCCTTGGCTACATAGGGAGTCCAAGGCCAGCCTGGGCTACATGAGACTCTGTCAACTACCACCACCACCACCACCACCGCCACCACCAGTTCGCCCAGAATAAAATGGGGTGTAGACACCATATCAAAGGAGGAACCGGGACCTAGAAAAAAGGTGCTATGGTCAGCTCCATCCCTGAGTGAAATAAGGAACTTCAGAACCTCTTTCAGAATGTACCCAGAGCCAGGCTCCCTAGATGTGGGGAAGGTGTGCATGTGGCCATCAGCTCTCCTGGGAGCCCTTTGGTGCTCTGCCTAGGAGAGGAAAGAGGACCTGCCTTTGCCTCCTCCGAGAATTCTTAGCCCTGTTGCCCAGGCTGAGCCCTGACCACTGAACCCGGGAGTACATTCTCAGATCCCCATTGTCCTGCCCACTGGATTTCAAAATGCTGAAGCCAGCTGTGCAGTCTGCCCTGATGAATGAGAAATGGGCTCTGGGCTCCATTAAGCATAAGGGTTGCTTTTAAGACTTTTATTTTTTTAATTAATTAACCCCCCTCCCCCCAGAAACAGGGTTTCTCTATGTAGCTTTAGATCCTGTCCTGGATCTCACTCTGTAGACCAGGCTGGCCTTGAACTCACAGAGATCCACCTGCCTCTGCCTCCCGAGTGCTGGGATTAAAGGTGTGAGCCACCACTACCCAGCTTAATTAATTGATTTTTTGAGACAGATTCTCACTGTGTATTCCTGGCTGTCCTGGAACTTACCATGTGGACCAGGTTCATTTGCCTACCTCTGCCTCTGAGTGCTGGGATTAAAGGCATGTGCCTTACTTTGTTATTTTTATTTGAGTGTGTGTGTGTGTGTGTACACCTAAAGATGAAACCAGAAGAGGGCAGCAAATTCCAAGGACCTGGAGTTATAAGCAGTTGCCAGCCACCAGATGTGGGTGCTGGGAACCAAACTCAAGGCCTCTGTAAGAGCGACAACTGCACTTTATCATTGAGCCATCTCTCTCCAGGATCTCCTCACTCCCACCTTTTCATGAGATAGGGTCTCATGTAGCCCAGACTGGATTTCAGCTCGCTAAGTCAGCTTGAATGCCTGACCCTCCTTCATCTCCTAAGTGCTGGAATTACTGGTGAGTGCCACGACACCCAGCAGTGTGCTGCTTATTCTGAGGGGTCACAGCGTTCTGCTGGGGTCAAGGGATCATTAGGACTCTCACAGCCAAAGGGAGAGTCGTGGAGTGTTGAGGGTGTGAGAGAGGGATTCGGGGCAGAGAACCCAATGCTGATCAACGCTCGGCTGTCAGAGAGCCTGGTGCGCATTGCTGAGGCTGGGAATGTGTGGGGTGAAGTGATGGAACAGATAAGATTTCAATTCTAACTTTGTCACTTCAGTGCATGCTTTCCCGCTAAGACACTGGCCATCTGTCCCCGGATGCACAAAGGACTAGGCTCATGTGTGAAGGTCCGAGGACAACTTTCAGGAGTCCAGTCTCTCCTTCCAGCTTGTTTTTGAGGCAGCATCTCTTTTGCTGTTTCTGCCAAACTGTGGTGCCTATTCCAAACTAGCTGACCTGCCAGCTTCTGCACAAGTTTCCCGTTTCTTCCTCCATCTAATGCCAACATTGCAGAAGTACTCCAGTGCGTCTGGTTCTTCACGTGGGCTCTGGGAACTGAACTCATGGCGTCAGGCTTGCGAGGCAAGCACCTTCACTTACTGGGCCATCTTGAGCTTTCTTTTACATTTACTTATTTAGTGTGTGTGTGTGTGTGTGTGTGTGTGTGTGTGTGTGTGTGTATGGTATGTGTGTGTGGTATGTATGTATATGGTGTGTATATGTGTGGTGTGTGTGTGTGTGTGTGTGTGTGGTATGTGTGTGTGGTGTGGTGTGGTGTGTGTGTGTGTGTGTGTTTGTGGTATGTATGTGTGTGGTGTGTGTTTGTATGTGTGGTATGTGTGGTGTGTGTGTGTGTGTGTGTGGTCAGAGGACAACTTTCCAGAGTCAGTTCTTTCCTTTCACTATGTGGGTCTTAGGGATTGAGCTCTGGTTGTCAGGCTTGGTGGCAAATATCCTTACCAACTGAGCCCTCTCAGGACCTTTTTAGACTTTATTTTTGTTTTCTTCTGTGTGTGTGTGTGTGTGTGTGTGTGTGTGTGTGTGTGTGTGTGTGTGTGTGTATGCATAGGTGGGTGCCTGCAGAGACTGGAAAAGAGCTTGGATCCCCTGAAGCTAGAGTGACAGGCAGTTGGAGCTGCCCAGCATGGGTGCTGGGAACTGAACTCGGATTCTCTGAAGGAGCAGTGAGTGTTCTTTACCTGTTTACCCATCTTTTCTCTCTTTCTTTCTTTCCTTTTTCTTTCTTTCCTTTTTTTTTTTTTTTTTCCGAGACAGGGTTTCTCTGTGTAGTTTTGGTGCCTGTCCTGGATCTCACTCTATAGATCAGGCTGGCCTTGAACTCACAGAGATCTGCCTGGCCCTGCCTCCCGAGTGCTGGGATTAAAGGTGTACACTACTGCCGCCCGGCCTAACATACATTTTTATTGATTTATTTTGTGTATGTGTAAGTATGCTTGCACCAGGGTGCTCTTGTGGATGTCAGAGGACAACTTGCAGGAGAAAACTTCCTCCCTCCACCGTGTAGGTCCTGGGATCAGGCTCAGCAGTATCTTTACCCTCTGACCCATCTTGTCAGTCTTTTTTTTTTTTAAATTGGGTTCTAGAGATCTGAACTCGGGTGATCACACTTGTCAGGTGAGCACTTTACCTAAGCCTTCTCACCGTGCCCTGAAAGTGCTTTGAGAAAAGAGAGAGAATAGAGAGAAGGGAGCCTTCCAACCAGGCAAAGCAGAATTAGCTCCAGATGTGGAGGTGAAAGGGTTAGAATTTAGGGGCAAGGAGCGAAGAGGTGGAAAAATGAGGAATAGGAAGGTCTAAAGGTGGGAGATCCCACCTCCGGCACATTAAGTCCTCACTGGCTTCTACACTGGGTAGAATCTTAGCCAAGGTGGTCACTGACTCCAGTGGCAATGAATTCCATCCTTCCCCAAGTGCATCCCTAAGAGTATGGGGTCCCTTCCTCTCACTCCAAATCCCTCTTTCTCCCCAGTGCTTCCCCTGGAGAGACAGCTTCACGAGGCCTCACGCTGGAATCAGGTGGAGAGGATGAAGGAACTGTTTGAGAAGAGGATTAACATCAGGGCTAGAAACCATGTAAGTATGAGTACCATACGGTGTTGCCACCCCGTGGGACAAGTCACTAGGCCAGAGGAGGTGTGTTGCGTTTGTGTGCATTGACTTGAGGATGGAGTTGGGAGGAGAGGACCTATGCTCCGTCTTCATCTCTGGAGCTGGCCTCAGGATTCCAAGTCAGGCTTTGGCAAGTCCAGAGCTCAGACTTTGAACCTGTTGTAGCCCATCTGGAAGGCCCATCTAAGGAACAAAGGTGGTAAGGTGCATGTGGGCAGGATTCTGGGGACCACGAGGGACCAGAGTCCAGACACCGGGAGCGTATGTGAGGCAGCAGCTGAATTCAGCTCTCTTAACACCTGCTGTCCCCATTTGTGTGACAAGCTGCAGGAGGCACAGGCCCGTTCTGGGAGTCTACTAATGAGGCAGGGAAGCAGTAGGGTCCATGGCCCTGGGGGAAGAGGACAGAGGAGGAAGCATGTCTTCTAAGTGGACATCGAAGACAGGCCAAGAGACCATGCAGGGTAGCTCCTCTCTGACTCAGAGCTTCTGCCTCTGAGGAACCTCTTGGATGCTATACTAAGGCTTGGTTAGCGGGCATTGGATGCAGTAACCTTGACTGCAGCAGAGGGTACACTGTCTAGGGTGATGTGATAGGGTATGACTTCAGTCTTCAGAGCCAGCTTGGGAGGTGTGGGAATAGTAACAAGAGTTAGGAGTGTGTCTGCTGTGTTCTGGTTTTCGGAGCACTCATCCACCAGCTTCTTGGTGGCTGTCATTCGGTCACCAAGAAGAGGTAAGGAGAGTGGGAAGTGTTGGCCCTGTGTATAGTTCCAGGCAGGTGCAGTGGGGGCAGTGGCAGGTCACTTTAGGTCACACAGCATGGGGTTGGTGACTGATGCTTTGGTCTCAGTTCTTTTTTTTTTTTTTTGGTTTTTTGAGACAGGGTTTCTCTGTGTAGCTTTGTGCCTTTCCTGGAACTTGCTTTGGAGACCAGGCTGGCCTCGAACTCACTGAGATCCACCTGCCTCTGCCTCCCGAGTGCTGGGACTAAAGGCGTGCACCATCACCGCCTGGCTGGTCTCAGTTCTTGAACAAGTATCTGCAGGGAAGCATGGCCTAGTCATTATGACAGTGCTTTAGCTGTTTGTCCGTTCATCCATCCACCCATCCACCTATCCATCCATCCACTAATTATATTTACATACATACTTCATTGATGTCTTCATTCATTCATTAAATGTATTCTCTCACGAACACTGGCTTATGTGTTCCTTCACTAAGAATTTATGAAGGGCATACTTTATGCTAGGTGGTGGGAACAGAACAGAACCCATGGCAGCTGTGGTCCCAGACTTCATGGAGTCTGGTGGTGGTGGTGGTGGAGGCAAAGACAGCAAGCTAGCTATCTCATCCCCACCGTGATAAACTGTCCCATAAGCACAGGGAGGGGTCCAAGGGGCTTTGTCCCACCTGGAGGTATCCCAGAAGGCTTCCATGGAGTGAGGCGAAGGGCAGTGTTTCAGGTAGAGGGAATGGTGTGGCAGAAGCCCCGAGAAGAGAGAGCTGGCGTCCGAAGATTACACTGGAAAGTAGTGCAGCCCTTCACTGCCTCTCATGAGCTGAGATGGTAGCAAAGTGGACTACACAGAGGGAGGCTGGCGGCCCAGCCTGCTCAGAGGGACGGAGGGCCAGAAACCAGGATGAACTCCCAGGGTGGCGGAGAGCGAGCCAGACGGTCAGGCCCTTTCGACTCATTGTGAGGGAAGAACCAGACACTCTGTTTCCCTTGGGGACATTGAGAGCTGTCTTAGGTCACATGTGGCTTCCCAGTAGGAAGAAAGATTTGGAGCTGGAAACCATCTGGCCCCTCTGAGAGGCAGCTGGGGGCAGTGCCAGGCCACACAGGGGCTCGTGGGTCCAGGCTCAGGCGTTTGCCCCAAGAGCAGTGGGAGCTGCGAAGACAGGGACAGATGGGTCCAGTCAGTGTATCTTATGATATTTGTTTTGGCTGTACCCTACCAGGGAAAAGGGACCTCAAGAAGGGCTGGATCTCCAGCCAGCTGGTCACCAGAGCCACCAACAGCCCTTCCTCCCTGCAGGCCAGCTGTCTTGGTAGAGAGGGTGTTGGGGGCAGGCCAGGCAGCCGGGTAGAGTGACAAGTTTCCCCTCTTCCTGGCAGGTGGGCAGAGTGGCCCTGCACTGGGCTGCAGGTGCTGGACACGAGCAGGCTGTGAGGCTGCTCCTGGAGCGTGGGGCTGCTGTGGATGACGTGGACTCGGTAGGGAGGTCTGCCTCTGTGTGTGTGTGTGTGTGTGTGTGTGTGTGTGTGTGTGTGTGTGTGTGTGTGTCTGCCTGCCTTCCTGCCCCTCAGGGGCAAGGACATCCTCAATCTGTCTGACCTGTGAACAAGCTGTCATTGGTGAGACTGTTGCCACTGACGTGCAGATGCTTAGGTACAGGCTGGGCCCAAGTCAGTCTTAGGGATTGGTGACATTGGATCCATTCCATTTTCCCTGGCATGGGAAGAAAGTGCTCTCTATTATCAATGGCCTTTCCATTCTGGGGACATTTTCGGTCCTTCATGATACCATGTGATGAGGGAGATTGGTAAACTATAGAGCAAATAGTCACGTGGATCAATGGTGGTCTGCTTAGTAAAGGGGCTAAGAAGAGGGTCCCCTGTGATAGGCCATGGGGCTCTGCCCTGGTCAGCACCTGAACAGACAACTTGCTAAGAAACTGTCCTGGAGCAGATTGGGCAAATCAGTAAAAGGCACTCTACTTGAAAGGGAGGGAGTCCCAAAGATCTACAGAATTGCCTCCCCAGGTTTAGGAGAAGGAAGGGCTGAATCTGACAGTGCCATTTGATACAGATATATTAAAAATGGATACTTAGGGCTAGAGGTGTGGCTCAGCTGGGGAGTGAGTGACTGTCCAGCATGCATGAGGTCCTGGATTTTATCCTCAGCACTGGAAAAAAAAAGAAGGAAGGAAGAAAAGAAGAAGGAACAAAGGAAGGAAATAAGGAAAGGAAGGAAGGAAGGAAGGAAGAAAGAAAAGAAAGAGAGAGAAAGAAAGAAAGAAAGAAAGAAAGAAAGAAAGGAAGAAAGAAAGAAAGAAAGAAAAAAAGAAGGAAAGAAGGAAAGAAAGAGAGAAAGAAAGGGAAAGAAAGAAGGAAGGAAAAATATATAGCGAGAAGGTCTCAGGGAGCCCAAGCTGGCTTCGAACTCAAGGATGACCTCGAACTTCTGTTCCTGCTGCCTCCACTCCCAGAATGCTCTAAAGTCTTGGGACTACAGGTGTGAACCATCATGCCCAGTTTATGAGGTACTCTGGATTAAGCCAGAACCTCATATGTGCTAGGCAAGCTCTTCCCCAACTGAGTTACACACCTAGCCCCCAAACTAAATTTAAAACAAACAAACAAACATATAAATAAATAAAAAACCCATTGAGTATTGTGTCGCACACCTTTAATCCCAGCACTCAGGAGGTAGAGGCAGACAACCTCAGTGAGTTTAAAGCCAGCGTTCCAGACCTACCAGGGCTGTATAGTGAGACCCTATCTCAAAATAAATAAAAGTAAAGACAGGGGAGATGCCTTAGTGGGTAAAGGTGCTTACTATGTAGCCTGGTGGCCTGAGTTCAATCATTCAATCCATGGAAGCCACAAAAAGGTAGACGGAAAGAGCCAAGTGCACGGTTCTCTTACAACCTCCACACGCGCTCCACCGCATGCGCGGGCAATAAATAGAAGCTGGACGTGGTGACGCACACCTTCGATTGCAGTGATGGGGGGGGGGGAGACAGGAGGATCAGGAGTTCAAAGTCATCTTTAGCTACGTAGCTTGAGGCCAGCCTGGGCTACATGTGAACCTATCTCAAAACAACAACACCAAGCAAACCTGAGCTCTGTTCCCTCCAAACATGATCTTTTTTTTTTAAGTGGTCCCTTCTACTGAAGAAGCAAAGAGAGTAGATGGTGGCCGTTTCGACTTCCGGTTTCATCCAACAGAAAGTTTCCAATAATGTATCCACCTCTGTGTTAAAAACAGCGGAACTGGGGCTGCAGGCACGCTCAGTGGGCCAGGGGACTTGTCACACTTGCAGAGGACCCAGGTTTGATTCTCAGTACCCACATGGTCGCTCACAGCCATCTCTAACTCCAGTTCCAGGGGATCTGTCATCTTCTTCTGGCCTCCTCTGGCACCAGACATACATGTGGTGCACTTACACACACACACAGGCAAAACCCCCATACATATAAACAAAACAAATAAATATTTTAAAAAGCGAGCAAAACTTTCTAGTTTTTAAGTGCCTTCAGCGTGGGGTTCTCTGGACTGAGTGGCATCTATAGTTGAATGGTTTGGCCGTGTGGACACAGCCACTCCCCTGCCTCCTCCCTTTCTCCTCACCTCCCTGTGTCCTTTCCCCCAGTTTGGGATGAATGCACTTCTCCTGTCTGCCTGGTTCGGCCACTTGCAGATTGTGCAGATTCTGGTCAATGCTGGGGCCAAGGTCCACTGTGAGAGCAAGGTAAGGCCGCAGCTGGCAGCCCCCGCCCCTCAGCCTCCCCACTTCTCCCCTCCATTTCCTGCCTGCTTCTGCCCGGCCCTCTGGAAACTTGTACACCCCCCCCCACCCCTGCTGAGCTGAGCCCTTGGAAACCCTTCCTAGGGTGGAGAAAGGGTGGGAGTGTTTTCATCGGGAGACTGTCTCTCATCTCATTGTTCCACCCCTCTGTGCTCCTGGGTGAAAATTCTCCAGCTGTCTGGTCAGCTGACTTCCATATTTACAGACAGGGCAGTTGGGAAGATGCACCAAGGCAGGAGGTCTTTCTTAGACCTTCTGCCAAGCTCTGCCCTCCTTATCCTTAGGGTGGTGGATAGAAGGATCCGAACCCAGGGTACCACCTTGGGTGGATAACTTTATCACCCACGCCGGTTTCCCATTTGGAAATGGTGTGTGTGTGTGTGTGTGTGTGTGTGTGTGTGTGTGTGTGTGTGTGTGTGTAGCTACCTCAAAGTGGTGGGAAAAACAAGGGCAGTAGTGGGTGGAATGTCCCAGGCTGGGTGGGTGCTGGCCCCTTGGGAACCTGGCCATACTTGATATGTGAGTGACTTAAGGGAGCAGGGTCCCACAAACCTCGATGCCTGGAATCCCTCCACTAGGATTCATGTAGCCCAGGTTGTCCTTGAACTCCTTATGTAGCAGAGGGTGACCTTGATCCTCTTGCTTCCACCAACCAAGTTCGGGGATTACAGGCACACGTCATCACATCCTGTTTATTCTGTGCTGGGATGCCTGCTAGGCTGGCACTACCCACTGAGCTCCATCCCTAGTCAAAATCGGTTTCCTTTTGTGGTGCCAACCCCCCCCCCCCCACACACACACAAAAGGTGTCCATATCCTAATCTCAGACCGGTGAACTCCCAGAATCTAACATGACAAAAGAATTTTGCAAATAAGATTATAGATGTTGAAATGGGAAGATTTTTCCCCCCTCGGGTTATCCACATGGGCCCCTTGTGATCACAGGAGTTCACACAGGAAGAGATTGGCAGAGAAGGACGGGTAAAGGAAGCTGAGGCTGGAGTTCAGTTCCCAGCACCCGCATGGCAGCTCACAACTGTTGGAACTCCGATAATCCTAACCTAACCTTCTCCCGAAGCCTCTAGAAGAAATGTGCCCTTGCCCACCCATTTCAGTGTGTGTGTGTGTGTGTGTGTGTGTGTGTGTGTGTGTGTGTGTGTGTGTGTACAACTTGCAGAAAAACTCCTCCCAAGGAGCTGCAGACTTGGAGGCAAGCACCTTTACTCTCTGAGCCTTGAGGACCCAGTCCCCTTCTGAGGCATCTATCCAGGCCCCAGTTTAGATTCTAATCTCCAGATAGGTTCCACCAGGATCACCCCGCTTTTACAATCTTGGCAACAAAACACTCTCAAGTTTAGTGACCAGTGTAACTGACTTCAGTTAAGATAACCAGGACTTATTCTTTTTCTTAATTTCCTCTCTCCCCCTCCCTCTCTCTCCTTTTGTCTTCTTGGTTGTTTAGACAGGGTCTTACTCTAACCCAGGCTCATCTGGAACCCACTGTGTAGCCAGCCCAGTGTGGCCTCAAGGCAATCCTCCTGCCTCAGCCTCTTAAGTGGATTATAGGTGTCAGTCAGTGTACCTGGGATTCTTTTCTTTCTTCAGTTTGAGGCAGGGTCTCGCTACATAGCCCTACCTGTCCTTGAACTTGTTCTTTTCCTGCCTCAGCCTCCTCAGGTTCTTGCTGATATTGTTCATAGCTCCATGGCTGGTTAGGCCATCCCTCTGGTTTTGCTCAGGCTAACCCATGAGGATATGCTTGGGCTGGCTGGACTGTAGGGTATCTGGAACCTCTGAGGGACACTGGGATAATGTCCCCAGTTTCTCCAGTGGCTCATAGAAGCCATCCTGGACATTCTATGTGGCTTCCTCGCAGGCAACAAAATAATAAGAACAGGCCTGGGGATGCAGCTTAGTTGGTAGAACACTTTCCTAGTATCCACAAGATCCTGGTTTTGATCCCCACCACTACACAAATTAAGCATGGTGGTCCCCCTGGTGGTAGAGATAGAAGGGTAAGAAGTTAAAAGTCATTCTTGGCTGCACAGCAAATTTGAGGCTAGCCTAGGCTGTTTATTGTTAAGGGTTTTATAGCTAGAGTTTTCCTGTCTTGCCCACAGTCAGGACAAATCTCTATCACCCGCCAGTCCCACAGCCACTCAGACCCGACCAAGTAAACACAGAGACTTATATTGCTTACAAACTGTATGGCCGTGACAGTCTTCTTGCTAACTGTTCTTATAGCTTAAATTAATCCATTTCTATAAATCTATACCTTGCCACGTGGCTCGTGGCTTACCGGCATCTTCACATGCTGCTTGTCATGGCAGCGGCTGGCAGTGTCTCCCTCTGTCTTCCTGTTCCCTCCTTTCTCCTCTCTGTTAGTCCCGCCTATACTTCCTGCCTGGCCACTGGCCAATCAGTGTTTTATTTATTGACCAGAGCATTTGACATACAGACCATCCCACAGCAGGGTGTCTTGCTGTATGGCCCAGGCTAGCCCTTAACTCCTAGTCTCAAGTGATCCTCCCCACTGGGCCTCTTGAGTAGCAAGGAGGACTACAGTCATGTGCCATACTTGACTTTTTTTCTAAAGTACTTTTTAATTGGGTTAATTTCTCACTGATGAGCTTTTTGGAGTGTTTTTATATATTTTGGATGCATTTTGACTTAAATTTCAAGCAGCTGTTTATGTTCCTCTAATTTCTTCAGCATGCGTATCATTAACTAGAGTTTACATACAGTGAGAGCCACAGACCTCAAATTTAGACTCACTGAGATCTGACCACTATCGAGTTGTAGACCAGTGCTCTGCTGATTCTTAGGGTGCAACACTGGATGGTGAGCACTAAAAAACAGCGCTCCAGGGGCCGGAGAGATGACTCCGAGGTTACAAGCACTCCTTGACCCAAACTCGTAACTACCTGTAGCTTAAGATCCGGGAGGGTCTGATGCCCTCTTCTGGCCTTTGAGGGAAGAAAGCGGGTAGGTGGGAGGGCAGAGCATACACACATTTCTTTAAAAAATCTTTGCTTTACATGGATGAATGTTTTGCTGGCATGAATGCATGTGTACCACACGCATGCCTATTGAATCCCCTGGAACTGGGGTTATGCATGACTGTGAACTACCATGTGGGTGCTGGGAACCTGGGTCCTCTGCAGGAGCAACAAGTGCTCTTAACTGCTGAGCATCTCCGTCTCTAAAATACTTTTTAAAAAGACAAACAGTGCTCCAGGGACTCCAACCTTAATGGGGGAAGGGGTGGAAGTTCTGGGTCATTAGTCCCTTGCAAGTCTCCTTCATTTAAATGTCACTCAGGAGACCTCTCTTCCTACCTCCCCCTCCCTCTCAAAGGCTTTGACTCCAGATCCAGCATTGTACATCTGACCTTTGTTCTCCCTGGGAGGTTAGGTCTTAGTGATCTTACACTGAGCACTCAGTTGCCAACTTCATTTTTTAATCCATTTTTATGTGTGTGTGTGTGTGTGTGTGTGTGTGCGCGCGCGCGCGCGCACGCGCGCATGTTTATTCGTACCATATGCATTTAGGTACTCTAAGAGGCCAGAGGACATCATATCCCCTGGAATTGGAGTTACAAGCATGTGTGAGCCATTTGATGTGGGTGCTGGGATTTGAACCTGGGTCCTCTGGAAGAAAAGCCTGCTTTTAGCTGCTGAGCCATCTCTCCAGACCTGTTACTGGCTTCTTCATTTGCAGCTGTATGAAGGAGGTCGGGGCCTAGAATCCTCATACAATTGCTCCGTGGGATGTTCTTGGGATTGTAAGGGCTGTGGCCTTACAGTTTGAAATCACTTTTCTGTTTATAAAATGTTTCCTAGTTGGGCATGGTGGTGTAAACCTTTTTTCCCAACACTCGGGTAGCAGAGGCAGGAGGATCTCTATGAGTTCGAGGCCGACCTGTCTACCTAGCAGGTTCCAAGCCAGCTAGAGACACATTAATACTTTTCTTGTGCTCTGACTTGCACTGAGGCGTTCTATGCATAAATGCAGACAGACTCAGAGAGGTGAAGACAACTGGCCCCAAGCCAGAGTTGAGGAGCGTGGAGCCAGGCTTTTGGCTTCTGGCATCCTGGTTGCTGGCTGCCTCGCTGGGTCAGGCGTGGACTCTCTTCATCATTGAGAGCATTGTTGCCATGGGAGCTGTGTGCCAAGAGACAGGTAGTGTATGAGAGAGGGGCCCTTCACAGACTCCGGGGACCCGCTTGGGCTTGTTTCCAGGACGGCCTGACCTTACTGCACTGTGCAGCTCAGAAAGGCCACATGCCTGTGTTGGCCTTCGTCATGGAAGACCTGGAGGATGTGGCCTTGGACCATGCAGACAAGGTAAGACCCATGCAAAGCTATTCAGTTCTCCCATTGGCTGGGACTTTGCTGGGTGTACCCTGTTAGTGAGGGCATTACTGGACGTGTCTTATTGGCCCAGGCTTTACTGGGACTGCTGCATACCTGGAGGGCATCTCTGATTATGGAGGAAAACTGTATTCTGCCTTGACTGTCCCTGGAGGGGACGTGACAGGTACACAGATGGGCAGGATGAAAACAGAACATGGTTGACTCTCCCTTCCATCAAGGACTAGACAGGTTAGAGAGAAAAGAGCCTGTTTTCTGCTTCCTGGAGAAGGGGGCAGTTAGGGAGGGAGAGATTTAAAGTAATTGGAAAGGGGTAGAGAGCATCTTTGGAACTTTGAAGGCAGGAAAGAGCTCTGAGTGTGTGATTTCTGGGAGACTGGAATCATGAGAAGGGAAGTCAAAGGAGCCGGGGGTCCCCATGGAGATGTGTCTCCAACCTGAGGGTTCTCTCTTCATATGGCCGGCGGCCAAGAGGCACTGAAGGACTGGAGTAGAAGAAGATCTCCTCCCCACAGAGGGGCTGTTGTTGGAACCTGGGGCTGAGTGGCAGGGAGAATGGGGTGGGATTCTCCCCATGTACGCTACAAGTACAGAGAGATGAGGAGCCCGGCCAGTCGGCGGGGTAGGTGTGCACACTGATAACGTGAGGAGGCTTATTGTCTCTCCCCTTCTGGTCAGCTGGGAAGAACAGCCTTTCACAGAGCTGCCGAGCACGGACAGCTGGATGCCCTGGACTTCCTCGTGGGCTCTGGCTGTGACCACAGTGTCAAAGACAAGGTACTGTGACCGAGAGGCACTCTACCACCCCTGACCAGGCTGCAGAACTTCCTGTGCCTTCCTGGTCCTGGCACCTCCTAGAGCCTACTTTTTCTTTTTCAGATTTCTTTTATGTGCATGAATGTTTTTCCTGAATCTATGTGTGCCATGTGCAGGCGTGGTGACTTCAGAGGTCAGAAGAGGGTGTCAGAAGGTTGTGAGCCACCATGGAGGTGCTGGGAATTGAACCCAGGTCCTCTGGAAGAACAAGTGCTCTTCACCACTGGGCCATCTCTCCGGCCTCCTAGGGCCTACCCCTGACTCGAGTTCCGCTAGGGGGAAGAGCCCCAAAGGCCGGAATGTGTCATGTGTCTGATGTTCTTCTAGGACACTTTAGTACATGGGGGCCAGCTGGTGGGCGTGAGATGTTCAAGATGAAATTTCTTTTCTTATTCTCTCTCCCCCGCCCCTTTCTTTCTTTAAGACAGTCTCATACAGTCCAGGCTGTATCAGAAAATGATCTAGGACTTGTCCTGCCCCATCTCCCAAGCACTGGGCTTATAGATAGCACTGCCATGCCTGGTTTTTATAGTTCTGGGGGCTGAACCAAGGGCTTCCTGCAGGCTAGGCAATCACCCTACAAACTGACGAACATCCCCAGCCCTTATCTTATTTTTAAAGAAACATACCTGCTTCGAATCATAAGGAGCAAGAGTATGTGCAGGACCTGGACCTTGAGGATGCCCCTGGTTGTGGCTTTTGGTAGTGACAGGCATGAAGCTGGTCAGACTTGGTTCTGTAACCCTGGACACTTCACTCTGGACCTTAACTTCTGTGTCTGTAAAATGAGGGGACGGCTCTAACGGGGTTTCTGTGACATGCTGAAATCTGAGGACTCGGTCTGTAAGCCCTTCAAGCCATCGTCTTCCTGCAGGAGGGGAACACCGCCCTGCACCTGGCTGCCAGCCAGGGTCACATAGCCGTGCTGCAGAGACTTGTGGACATCGGGCTAGACCTGGAAGAGCAGAACGCGGTGAGTCAGCAGCTGGGGAGACAGACAGATGAGATGCTCGCTGACTCTGTCTTTGAGGAGCCCCCAGCCTGTGGTGCAGTGGACTTTGTCTTGGTGGAGACCTGGAGCATGGCACGTTCTCACACTGACACCCACCGACAGGAAGCTAACAGCAGCCCCAGGGACCTGGCTGAGCAGGGAGCCAGACAGGATTGTCAAACCATGAGCTGGCGTGGTGGCCCACGCCTTTAATCCCAGCACGGGAGGCAGTGGCAGGTGGATCTCTGTGAGTTCAAGGCCAGCCAAGGCCTGTAGAGCGAGTTCTAGGACAGCCAAGGCCACACAAAGAAACCCTGTCTCAACAAACAAACACACACAAAACAAACCAACCATGAGACGTTTCCATTTCCCGGTGATCAGGGTGACTTTCTGACATAGGAGGGACAGATTAGTGAGGTTAAAAGGCAAGTAGAACATGGACAGAGGTGTTGATGAGGTCATCGTGTCATCTGCATTCCACACACGGGACCATCAGTGCAGAAGCCACAGGTAACCAAGCCCTTCGTCCTCACTAGTACGTGGTTGAGGGCTCCGGGGCCAGAGTAGAGGTGTGTGCTCTGGGCTCCGGGGCCAGAGTAGAGGTGTGTGCTCTGGGCTCCGGGGCCAGAGTAGAGGTGTGTGCTCTTGACTCCGGGGCCAGATTAGAGGTGTGTGCTCTTGACTCCGGGGCCAGAGTAGAGGTGTGTGCTCTTGGCTCCGGGGCCAGAGTAGAGGTGTGTGCTCTGGGCTCCGGGGCCAGAGTAGAGGTGTGTGCTCTTGGCTCAAGGGGCCAGAGTAGAGGTGTGTGCTCTTGGCTCCGGGGCCAGAGTAGAGGTGTGTGCTCTGGGCTCCGGGGCCAGAGTAGAGGTGTGTGCTCTGGGCTCCGGGTTTGGCTCCAGATTCCCGTCTCCAGTCCTTTCCCTGTGTGTTTCAGGAGGGTCTGACTGCTTTGCATGCAGCTGCTGAAGGGATCCACGCTGACTGTGTGAGGCTTCTCCTCAGTGCCGGGAGCAACGTCAATGCCCTCACCCAGGTAGCTAGCCCTTCTGAGACTGATGGCTTCCCTAGTCTGATGCCAATCAGACTCCTAAATGTTCTGTGAATAGAGGCTTTAAGGCAGTCACCCTGGGTTCTGGTCTTGGCTTCCCCACGGCTTAGCTATGTGGCCTAGGACAAGTCATTGTCGTAAAGGCCCCAGAGGACTCTTTATGAACTGCTTGGCCTGGGCAAATCACCCACAGCTCCTGGCATGAGACTTGAGTGGAATGTGATTCTTGGTGCCCTGTCACATAAGAGATCCCTGGAACAGTGTCCTGATGCCTGTTTCTCTCCAGAAAAAGCTGAGCTGCCTCCACTACGCAGCCCTCGGTGGCTCTGAGGATGTGTCCCGGGCACTCATCAAGGCAGGAGGGTGCACAAATGTGGCTGACAGGGTAAGTATTGGGCCTGGATTGAAAGGACCCACACTGCAGCCTCCCATAAATGTGTTAAGCACAGGAACGAGAACTAGACACACCTTTGTGGATGGGGTAGGACACAGACTAAAGGAATAGTAGTAGCATTTCATTTCATTTCATTTCTTTTCTTTTCTTTTTTTGTTTTTCGAGACAGGGTTTCTCTGTGTAGCTTTGC